GCGGTAGCATGGCGACCGCATCCTATAAATACTGCGACTTCCTGTACACTAGCCACCCTTTTCTGCAACTGTCTCTGATGATGGATTCGAGAGAGAATCCGAAACGTCAGGCGAATAAAGCCATTGTTCCAGCGATCGCTTTTTCTTCTGATCAACTAGTTCCTGGAACTCGCATTTTCGCTTGTATCGGCGGTTTATATATGCATATATGTAGTATGACATTACCGACAAAGACTAAGGAGACTGGGATGGCCTGAAATGGAGGTTTGGGAGAGAGTCCCAAGGCAAAACGGAAAGAGTGAGTCCCGTAACACGATCCGTGAGCGCTCTCCTACCGATATATTTGTACATGTATATATGCGTGTACACATACGTGCACTTCCGTTAGACGAGAGCTGTAAACCTAAAGATCTAATTTGAAGATTTTTTCGCTTCTGCTTGACGCAAGTTGAAGTGGTTCGTCTACTCATTGTGCCCCCTGACGTTCTGTTTGCGTTTTCTCTTATATTAACCCAAGAGATTTATTAGTTACTAATTTCAGAAATTATTTTGCAAAAGACATGGAGGCATGTGCACAGGAGCTGACTTTTTAGGACAGGCCCAAAATTTTAATGAAGTCACAGACAATCAAGTGCACCCAACGAACGAGGTAGGTATTGGTCCGAGTGGATAACTATGACGGGCGTCTTGTAAGTAGGCACCAACACAACACACACCCCCACGCGGATATTTCAGCAGCTATCTTGTAAATACGGAAGTCCGCCTTGAGCTATTATGAATAACGGGGTAGAATTCACAACGTATGCAAAACCTACAGATGCAGACTTATGTCTGTGAGAACAAAAGAGAAAAAGACGAGTTCAGTACTTCGTGACTATATTTGACCTGATTTCGTACATGGAAGCGTACTCCTAGCGACAGAGATGGTCGTCAAATGTCGAGAAAATCCTATCTACTTAAATCGATTTAATCCATCCTTTAAAACTCAGTTGGTTGCCACATCTTATGTATGTGGTGCAACTCAAGTGACATTAAATACAATACTTCGATGTCCTCGTTCAGGGAAAAGTTGAATTTGGAAAACTAGTTTGTTGGAAACATAGTCGTATTTAATTCCCACAAGTCCGCATGCTGGCTTTTAAGTAAATATCTTTCCCCACATCTGTGTAAACTTCATTCTGAGAAGATTCATAGCTTGAATAGGGCTCGTTTTATGATTGTCGATGCCTGTATAAAGACAATCATGCTTTATAGAAAAGAGGGATAAAAGTCAGTTCATAAAACATTTCCGTTGTAAATTGCGTCTGCTTTAAATGTGGTAAAAAAGGGAGGAAATGCGTCGGTTTTAAAATGGCAGAATAATAACAGCACCTTTTTGGATATCACATACGTTTGTAAAGACGCTAAACTATATGTTACGAAATATGTTTGAAGCAAATTCACATAAGTCCAAATATCAATACGTTATGGTTCCTGGGCGCTCCATCAACATTTAAGTAAACGTGGACCGCGTTGGAAACCTTGGGCAGCATTGATAAAACTGTATACCGAAGACTTCATGATGATTCATTCGAAGGTTTGAGAAACTCTCATAATTGCATACTTTTTAAAAACTGGAATATTTCGTTCGCCAAGACGTAACCTTTTGGAAAGACTCCATTTACAATATGTGGCCATAGAAAATGAATTTTAAGGATGGAAGCGAATATGCGAATCCAGGTTCTTGTTGTAACGAAGATGAAGACCCGATCTCTGGGACAGTGGGTTTATTAGTCTGAGCTTTCGGTCTCGTACAGGAGGCCATCGTCAGAGACTGTGAGAAGGCAACATCAAATGAGCGGTTTTTGTAGTCACGCCATGAAGGGGGGGGGGGAGAGATATGAGTGCAGAGGGTGGTATTCGCGATAAGTTGCGTCCCACGCCGTCTCAAGGTGGCGTGACTGCGTGCACCCTTGGCTGGAAATTGGGTCTCGCCCCTTGGCCGCGGGAACGGAGCGCGTGATAGTAGGGG